TTGTGCATTTTTAGATGTGTCCCCTATTTTATTATACTGTGCTTATTTGTTTGTACTTTTCACACTTAGGTCTTTTCATTTCGAATGGTCTTTCCTAAGAATCAGGTTTTAGAATAATTTCTATTAGCTGTTAGGTGTGTGTGTGTGTGTGTGTAATTATTTATGAATATTCTGTGTTCTTGTCTTCCGGTTTAGCTTTTAACTTCCTTGAGGAAACTTTCCACTACAGCGGGGTGAGGAGCCATCCAGGCACTCAAGCCTGTGATCCAGGAGAAGCCTCAGAGACTCTAACACCCCAGCTGAGAGACTCACAGTGCTTCAGGCTGAGACCCTCTCCCCTCCCCCCCAAAGCTTCTGCTCCTGAGCCACACCTGTCAGGCTGAAAAACACAGTTTAAAAGTCAACACTTTTGGCCTGGGGAACAGGAGCGGGAGCGGCGGCGGGGGTGGCTTGTTGGAGGCGGCCATGGCAAAGCAATACGACGCAGTGGCGTACCCCTTTTGTGATGAGGTGACCAAATATGAGAAGCTCACTAAGATCGGCCAAGGCACTTTTGGGTAAGGTTGGGCCCGGAGGGGCCGGGTGCCTTGGGCCTGCACTCCTCAGGGCCTGCGGCGGGATGCACGGTGCCGGGCCCGAGGCGGTCAGGAGGCCACCTAGCCCTAGACTTGCCTCCTGGTCTCGCTAGGCCGCGCTCCATCCCGCCCGGGCCCGACGGAGCTGGCTGGCGGGGAGGAGCCTGAGGCCCGTGCTGGGAAGTGGGGAGGGGTTGCAGAGAGGAGCTGGGGAGGGGAGCGGGATCTCTCTGAGTGCGGCCTGGGCGAGAAGAGACTGTGGGGAGGAAGCAGGGGCTCGGAGAGGGACCGCAAAGAGCTCGTGGCGGGGGAGCCGAGTGCCCTCGGTACCAGGCCCCGCCCCGCCCGGGAGACCCTTTTTCCTGCCCTCCTCTTCTGGTGGGGGAGGGGCCGGCCCCGGAAAGGGGCCTGATGGGCTTTGGATCCCCCTCTCCATCTGCAGGGAGGTGTTTAAGGCAAAGCATCGCCTGACCGGCCGAAAGGTAGCTCTGAAGAAAGTCCTGATGGAGAACGAGAAGGAGGGGGTGAGTACGGGTCAAGTGGCTGGCGGCCGGCTTGAGTTTCCACCTTGCTGCTCTAGGACTCTCACGTGGAGGCCTAACTGATGTTTAGTAGTTCGGGAATTTCCATGGTGCAGGGAACTTCACTTCCAAATTAAATCTCCTAGTTCAAATGTTTTCAAGTATTTGAAATTTTATTCTTCGGCAACTATGGTTAGGGCCAGGAGGGGGAGCTCATGCTTGCACCGAGTGCAGAGCGGTTTATGAAATTAGGAAGTCTTTAAACCCTTTTTCTTTAGCGTTTAATTTTGCTTAATATAAAATGAAAATACATGCAGTGGATTTAAAAGAGCGTCTAGTGCTCAACTGAAAAGGAGCAGGTCCCTCTCCCTCTCCCCACTTAGCCCTAGTCCAGTTTCCAGGGACCTACTTCTTACTTAGCAAGGACATTTCTTAATAGTTCTTCTTGTTTTTGTTCGTGCCCGGCAAGTTAAACATGCACAGAGCTAAACTTTAAAGGTTAAAGAAGCAGTGGAGCATTTAGTGACCAATAGTGAAGTGATTAAGTATCACTGTTTCGATTCCTTGTCTCAAACCAGCTCCTTGAGGAGTGCGTACTGCTTTACACCTGTTTTCAGATGGGGCGTCTGCGATAGCTGATTTCAGAGCCCAAGATTCTACTCTGTCTCCCAACCTGTGCCCCTTGGTGCAGACTCTGGCCAGTTCCTTGGTCTACAGGGCGCTTCCTCCCTTTGGACGCTCATCTGCCTTTTTCCCACACAGTTCCCCATTACGGCCTTGCGGGAAATCAAGATCCTCCAGCTTCTAAAACACGAGAATGTGGTCAACTTGATTGAGATCTGTCGAACCAAAGGTAAGTTGCTTGGCTCTTATCAGCCTCATTTTCTTCATCTGAAAATGGGAATAAGTTCCGGCTTTGTTGGCAAAGTTGGGTCTGGACACACTTAAATTGCTTCTTCACCCAAGCATACCTGCCGTGACTGCTTTCTCCGGTCCTTTCGTCGTAGCTGGTGCTTCTCCAGGGCTGCCGCAGCACCCGGCCCCGAGGGGGCACTCAGGACACGCTTTACCAGTGAAGGAACGCACAGGCGGATGCCGGGTGTCCGTGGGCTGGGGGGGTTTAGGAGCTGGTTGTGGAAAAATGAGTTGCATATGGGATTTTTTACTTTCTTCTTACCCCCATCCCTCCGTCCCGTTCTTCCTGCCTCAGCTTCCCCCTATAACCGCTGCAAAGGCAGCATATACCTGGTGTTCGACTTCTGCGAGCATGACCTTGCTGGGCTGCTGAGCAACGTGTTAGTCAAGTTCACACTGTCTGAGATCAAGAAGGTCATGCAGATGCTGCTCAATGGCCTCTACTACATCCATAGGAACAAGGTGGGGGAGGAGAGGCCCGGGCTTGGTCTGACCTTTGCTCCCACTGCTGGGTGGGTGTGGCTAAAGAGCCAGTGGGAACCTGACGGAGCCCTCTTGCCCTTCCTACAGATCCTGCACAGGGACATGAAGGCGGCTAACGTGCTCATCACCCGAGATGGGGTGCTGAAACTGGCAGACTTTGGGCTGGCCAGGGCCTTCAGTCTGGCCAAGAACAGCCAGCCCAACCGCTATACCAACCGCGTGGTGACACTCTGGTACCGGCCCCCGGAGCTATTGCTCGGTGAGGACCCCCGAGTGGGCAAAGGGGGCAGGGGCTAGGCACTGAGCCTGGCCTCAGCCCCCCCCCCATTGCCAGGGCTTCTTGAGCCACCGGCCCTGAGGCGTTGCGTCTCAGGAGGCCCTCGGGCTCAAGGGGCCCTCCTGCTGCGCTCTTCTTCCCAGGGGAGCGCGACTACGGCCCCCCCATTGACCTGTGGGGTGCTGGGTGCATCATGGCGGAGATGTGGACCCGCAGCCCGATCATGCAGGGCAACACGGAGCAGCACCAGCTCGCCCTCATCAGCCAGCTCTGTGGCTCCATCACTCCTGAGGTGCGTGGCCAGGCTGCCGGGGCCCCTGCAGGAGGCAGAGCCCAGAAGTCTCCCTGGCAGGGGAGGAATGGGGAGCGGGACAGAAGGAAAGCTCCTCTCTGGAGCGGGGGCAGGTGGAGGGACAGGACCTGCTCTTTAGAGCCGCGCAGGCTGGCTGCTCCGTCACCAGCTCTGTGGCCTTGGGCAAGGCATTGGACTTCTCACCTGATCCGAGTTTGTCTGCTGTGGAACAGCTGCCGTGTCAGCTGTGGCACATGCTCCGGGCGATTTATGTAAAAGGGCCGGCACTCGGGGCCAACACATGGTCGCGGCTACTTTGACCTTGGAGGGGTCGAGTTCACCCTCCAGGGGTGTGTGGAAGCATCTGAACAGAGAGGTTTTAGTCCCTTCAGGTGCTTCACCAATGGACAAGCCACTCGTCTCCTGAACTAACTTCATCCTCTTTCCATGCCTTCCCCCAGGTGTGGCCAAATGTGGACAAGTACGAGCTGTTTGAGAAACTGGAGCTAGTGAAGGGCCAGAAGCGGAAGGTGAAGGATAGGCTGAAGGCCTATGTGCGCGACCCCTACGCACTGGACCTCATCGACAAGTTGCTGGTGCTGGACCCGGCGCAGCGCATCGACAGCGACGATGCCCTCAACCATGACTTCTTCTGGTCTGACCCCATGCCCTCGGACCTCAAGGGCATGCTCTCCACCCACCTGACATCCATGTTCGAGTACCTGGCGCCACCACGCCGGAAGGGCAGCCAGATCACCCAGCCTTCCACTAACCAGAGCCGCAATCCCACCAATACCAACCAGACGGAGTTCGAGCGTGTCTTCTGAGTGGCGGCGCTGCTGCCTTTCCTTAGGGCTCTGTCTTCTGCCCTGTGACTCGTGCTGTGGAGATGATGGGGCATTTGAGTTTTTTCTCCAGTGCACATTTTGTCTTACCCCATCTGGGCACTGGGGATGCCGTCCGAGTGGACTGGAGTAAAGCTTTGGCTCAATGTCCAGGGGGCACTGAGGCTGCCTCCCTGGTCCCCGGGCTCTGGAGAATGTCCAGCGCGTCTCCACGGACCTTAGGACAAGAATGGGGTGGGGGAGAGGTGCACCCCACCAGTGACTGTCTGGGTTCCCAGCATGATGGGAGGAGGGACAGGTCCCTTCCCATCCCTGGCTCTTCTCTTGGCCTAAGAAACTTGCATGGGGGCCACCAGCTGGAATATGGGCTGCTCTTGGCCTGAGCCTCAGAGGCGCTGGGGCTGGCAAAAACCTGGTTTCTTCAGTAGGAGAGTTTTATCATGTTTGTTTTATTCGGTGTTTAAAGACATTCCTGGACACAGTTTGACCAGTTACAATTAAAGTTGATTTTTTTTTCCCTTTTTTTTCCCACTAAGTGGCTGTATGCTTTGTTCTGTGTTCAGGCTCCCAGCTCTTACCCTGCAGCCAATAGGTTGGGCTTCACTGTTGAAATTTGATTTGTCAGATCTTAACTCATCTTTGTCCCAGTTCATCTTCCCTGACATAATGGTACAGGACTTCTGTCTTTTTTTCCCCATCTGGTACCTTCCAGACTTGCCATCTTGCTTCCCAAAGGGCATTTACCACGAAGCTCCCCGGCTCCTCCGCTCTGTCAGAGGGAAGACAGGTGAGAAGAGGGCTCCTTGGCGAGGGAACTGGAGAGGGTCTGGTGAGCTGCGTGGGCAGAGACCAGCTGGCGCAGTCTGTTGTGGCTGACAGACAGCCGTGTTCAAACTTGACCCATGAGCACAGGCGGCTGAGCCCTGTCGATGGAGTAACAGTTAGACCTGGAGCTTGCAAAGTTCCTCAGGCTCTTGGGAGACAATGGAGGGGAGATGACCAGCGAGCTGAAGGGTCTGCAGGGCTTGAGGAAGGGCAGTAGCTTGGATAAGGTGGAGGCTGGATCTTGGGGCTCAGAGCTGGGACCCTTGGAGGAGCAGCATGTCCTGAGTCAGGTTGGGGGCAGGAGTGTTTGAGGTGAATTCTCTATTCTTTTCCCAGGTGGAGGCCTCTTGAAGGGCCCAGGTAGAAAGGTTGGCAAGGTCTCTCACCAGAACTGTCCTTGTGAAAATTGGCCCAGCTCACAGCTTCATACCAGTGGGAGTAAAAAGGTTCTTGACTAGTGGGTTAGTTTCTTTTTTTCTTTTTTTAATATTTTTATTGATTTCAGAGAGGAAGGGAGAAGGATAGACAGATAGAAACATCAGTGATGAGAGAGAGTCATTGATCAGTTGCCTCCTGCACACCCCCCACTGGGGATGGAGCCAGCAACTCAGGCATGTGCACTTGGCTGCAATCGAACCTGGGACCCTTCAGTCCGCTGGCCGATCAGATTGATGCTCTATCCACTTAACCAAACCGGCTAGGGCAGTGTTTCTCAACCTGTGGGTTGCAACCCCTTTGGGGGTCGAATGACCCTTTCACAGGGGTCACCTAAGACCATCAGAAAACATAATTACATATTGTTTTTGTGATGAATCACTATGCTTTAATTCTGTTCAATTTGTAACAGTGAAATTGGGGGTCACCACAACATGAGGAACTGTATTAAAGGGTTGTGGCATTAGGAAGGTTGAGAACCACTGGGCTAGGGCAAGGATTAGTTTTCTTGGGGCTGCCATACCCAGTTGCCACCGACAGGTGGCTTACAATCACCTCCGTTCCGTTGGCTCTGGAGGCGAGAAGTCCGGAATCTGGGTGTGGCTGTGGTTCCTCTTGGAGGCTCTGAGGGCGAGCACCCCGCTCCCTGCCTCCTCGCTCCCAGTGGCTGCCCCGTCCTCGGTGTCCGTGGCTTGTAGACATATCCCTCTGCTCTGTCTTCACATGGGGGTCTTACGCTCTGCGCTCTCATGAGGACACCAGCCACTGCATTTGGGACGCCCCATGACCCAGTGTGACCTCATCTGAACCAGTTCTGTCTGTGAAGTCCTTCTCAAACAAGCTCACAGTGTGAGGTTCCGGGTGGACGTGAATTTTGGGAGGATACTATTCAACTCAGTACAAACTAGTAATCAAAGGACAGAACAGCAAGGTGCCCTACAGCTACAGCAGCAAGGTGGCCAGGTGTGAAATGACATGACTGTAGCTGGAAAGCTCACAGGGCCAGTTTAATTGTTCAGGGTATGGGTTTTCTCTGAAGGATCGGGTTTCTATAAAAGGTTCTTATTCTTGGACCCAGCGATTCCATTTAGAGAAATGTCTTAGGAGCAGTTGTCCAGTCTGTTTTCTCATGGAGTCCCCACTGGAGGAGGCGAGACAAGGCCCACCGGGCACGCCAGTATTTGACGTTGTCTGGGGATTGAGGGCAACAGATGAAGTAAGAAGTGACAAGAGTGAGAGTGGGTTCCAGAAGGTAAGGGACAGTGGTTTTAGGGGGAGGGAGTGATCATTTACACAAACTCCGATGGGCCCAAAAGAGAGTGAGGGCCAACTGTTGGGCTTACCTGCGGCGAGGTCAATGGTGACCTCGGCAAGAGCCATCGGGTGGAGCCCTTCCTCCGAGACCTGCCGGGAGCAGCAGGGTCCCTGGAGAACAGGAGGAAGGGAGCGGGGGACAGTGACTAGGAGGGGGATTAGGAACAAGCGCGTCTCCCTAGGCCAGTGGTTCTCAACCTTCTGGCCCTTTAAATACAGTTCCTCATGTTGTGACCCACCATAACATTATTTTCGTTGCTACTTCATAACTGTAATTTTGCTACTGTTATGAATTGTAATATAAATACTGATATGCAGGATGGTCTTAGGCGACCCCTGTGAAAGGGTCGTTCGACCCCCAAAGGGGTCGCGACCCAAAGGTTGAGAACCGCTGTGCTAGGCTAAGAGAGCCGGGTAGAGAAGGCATGTGGGATTCTTGTCCCATAGAAGGGCCATGTGGCCATGCCCCTAACCTGTTCCTGCCACCTCCGCCCAGTGCACCCACCCTGTTCAGGGCAGCCCTGCATGTGGAAAGCATAAACCTCCATCAGCTTAAATAAGAGCAGTGCTTTAACTCCCGTGTACATCCTAACCCAGGGGTGGGCAAACTTTTTGACTCGGAGGCCACAATGGGTTCTTAAACTGGACCGAAGGGCCGGAACAAAAGCATGGATGGAGTGTTTGTGTGAACTAATATAAATTCAAAGTAAACATCATTACATAAAAGGGTATGGTTTTTTTTTTTTTTTTTTTTAGTTTTATTCGATCCGGCCCGCAGGCCGTAGTTTGCCCATGGCTGTAACCTAACCCCATTCGGCCGGGAAGGGCGCCTCTAGCAGCTGGTCAGGATCGGTGCAGCCAGGACAGGGCAGGCCCTGGGATTGAATGCTGGGCGAGGAGAGGATGTCCAGGTATGTGCACTGTGCCGGGAAGTGGTTCCAGGTGGGAAACACGCCACTTGAGCTCATTTTATAGGAAAAATCATGAGACCTACCCGTGGTTATTTGGAGTGGTTCTGTTCTTTTTCCCCGTGTTTTCTCATATTCCCTGAATTAATGTTTTTGTTCGTGCACTCAAACCATATTTTAAAACAACCAAAGCAGGCCCCAAACCCTGGAGCTTCTGGCTCCAAGCTCCCCGCACACCCCACTTCCCCATAGAACACCCCAGAGAGGAGGTCAGGACCAGTGGCGGGCATGGGCCCTGTTATTCATCCCAGTCTGTGGAGGGAGGTGTGTGTCCAGAACATTACCTGGAGGCACAGTAGTGTCTGGCGCTTGTGAATCTCAAGGCAGTGAGTGAGTCAGGCAGCAAGAGATGTGTAAACAGGAAAGGTCTTTACTAGCAGCTGTGTTTGGACGGCCCTCGGGCCCTCAGTGTCACCCTGCAGGCTGGGAAATGGGTCTGTGTCCTGGTTTCTTAACCAAATGATTTGGAGAACCACAGCCGCTCCCCGCAGCAGGCTTAGACTCACCCCTGAATTCTACTTCCCCGTCCCCAGGGATCCCAGTGGGCCAGGGCCCAGGCAAATGGGCCCTAACAATAAGGGGAGATAGGCTGTGATAAAAGGCCCAACAAAGCTAGCGCCCAGTGCTGCAAGCCTCCCACGCATGCCTCTCCCTGCATTGTCCCCGCCCCCCTTCTCACCTTTAACCCCCACCCAGTTGTTATTTAACTCATGGGAACTGCACTCTGGAAACCTCCAGGAAGGACACCAGGTCCCTGGGCAGGTCCCAGGATGAGAGCAGGAACCTATCAGGTGAGACCTTCCTCCCTGCACAGGGGAGGCCCTGGGCTTCTGGGTGGGGAGAAGGCGGATCTTGGGTATCCTCTCAACTCCCCCTACCATCTCCAGCCCAGCTAAAGCCTGGGCTTGCAGAGGTGGCCTGCGGTCACTGCCCGTCTGGGTGGGGAGCATGAAGGCCGGGGATGAAAGGTGCCAGGTCCTTCGCTACTTCCTGGCCAGTGGCTGAGAAGCTGTGGTGTGAAGCAAGCATGGAGCAGCCAAGCCCATCCGGGGGGCCTTTCTCGGCCACATCTGCCTCTTTCCAGGTAGGAGAGCGCTGTGACCTTGGGCCACAGCCGGGCACCTGCCTCTCTCAGCCTCTGTTCTTTCTTTTGTACAAAGTGGTGTGCATATGCCCCAGGGGTCCGCGATCATCAGCAGTGATGAGCCCACACTTTCAAGGAAAACCTTGTCATTGATAAGCCTTGGTCTCAGGGTGGTCAGGGGCCCTGAGGCTTGCCCCACCCAGTGTGGCTGTGGAGGGTCTCAGAGCAGAACCAGCAGGTGGGGCTGCTGGCAGAGCTACCTCCAGGGGCCTGTGTTCCAGGCCTGTGTCTGTAGGCTGGTTTCATCTGATTAAACTCTCAGGACTACTCTGTGAAGAGGACTGCTAGTCTCATTTTAATAATAACAGCCCTGGCCGGTTTGGCTCAGTGGATAGAGCGTCAGCCTACGGACCAAAGGGTCCCAGGTTCAATTCCGGTCAAGAGCACAGACCTTGGTTGCAGGCTCCTCCCCAGCCCAGGCCTTGGTTGGGGCGCCTGCAGGAGGCAACCAATCAATGTGCTTCTCTCACATTGATATTTCTCTGTCTGTCCCTCTCTCTTCCACGCTCCCTAAAAATCAATGGAAAAATATCCTCCTGTGAGGATTAAAAACAAAACACCACTGATGATCTCAGTAACCTGCAAAGAAAATAACAATAAAGGCAACATGGATCAAGTGTTCACTACCTACTGGCCCTGTGCCCATTGTTATCTGCATCTTACAGATCTGAAACCATTATTGCCTGCAGTTTATAGATCTGGTAGGTGTGGTTAAGAGCCGTTAAGGACTTAGTTTGTTAAAGATTTCTAACCTTGGCACATGGTAGAGCCCTGGCTCTGTGCTCTGGGCCCAGCATCTCTCACTCAGCCTCATCCAGCTCCGAGGTGGGCACCACTGCAACCCCTACTTTCCAGATGAAGCAACAGGGCTCAGCGAGGTGAGGAGGCTCATCAAGCAGCGGAAGCCTTCCAGCTTGGCTGGGGCAGAGACTGGCTAGGGCTGGGGATGGGAACCCTGGGCTTGGCTATAAGGGATGAGCGTGGACCTAGGTTCATGTCCTGATAGACACTAGACAAGCCACTTAGCCTCGCCAAGCCTTAGTTTTCCTCTTCTGCTGAATGGGTATCACAAGAACGTGCCTCCCTCCCTCCCTGTGCAGTCTGAAGCCCAGGCGAGAATGCAAGGCTGCAGTAGCATTGCCTGGGGCTGCACGCCAGGCTGGGCCATGCCTTCCAAGTCCGCTGGACAGAACCTTGTGCCCAGCAGCAGAAGAGGGGCAGGCACAGATGCCAGGGTTTGGAAACAGTGTCTCCTACATGGTTATCTAGGCCCTCTCACTTTGAGGCTACAGCCCTAGGGCAGGGGTGGGCAACCTTTTTGTGAGTGCGTGCCAAAACCAGCAAAATCTCTGACTCAGAATTCTTCTGCGTGCCAACCTTAATTTTTTGAGAACATGTTACGCCTACTTGATATCTCTTAAGGTGTATGTATGTGAAGAACCTTGAAGAAATAATAAAATTCATTTGAGCGACAAAAACACAGTATATGATGATGAAAAATA